GATGGATGGGTGGATGGATGGATGGATGGGTGGATGGATGGGTGGATGGATGGATGGATGGGTGGATGGATGGATGGATGGATGGATGGGAGGATGGGTGGATGGGTGTCCCAGGGCCTACCTGTGGGGCTGTGGACATTCCAGAAGTCAAAGAGCAGCACTGCTGTGTCCGAGAAGTAGAAGGTCATCTGGAAAAGAGACACGGAAAGGGCAGCACAAGGAACTCCTCGGGATCCATTCACCCACCACCCCAGAGGGCTAAGCTGATGCTCATCTGGGGTTTTACCACATGGTGCAATCTTTTTTCCCCAATTCCTGAAGAAAGAGGAACTTGCACTGACAATTCCAGTCATGCTGACTGGACTAAACTCTTCCCCTGACCTCCAGCAGGACAGCTGTCACCTCCAGCAGCAGCTCCTGTGAGTGTCTGGGCTGTGAGAAAAAGCCAGTTTAGCCTGAGAGACCAGTCCAGGACTCCACCAGCCTAGAGCTGAGAAGGGAAGGTCTGTGGGGGACAGGTGGAGGCTCAAGGACACCACCCACAGCCTGATGAGGAACTTCCCAGGACAGAGAAACCGCTTGCATTGCTGGGACACCCAAAATCTCAATCACCAAGGCACCCAGAGCCACTGTGACCACCCAATAACGTGTCTCCCTGGCAGAGGAGCATTCCTGTCTGTCCAACCTGGGGCTGCCAGGACCTACAAAGGCACCACCCCCATCCTTCATCAAGCTGAAACAGGAGGAACAAGAACTGCTCTTGTGTAACAAACCCAGCTGCAGAGCTCGTGCCCAGCTGCCAAGTCACAGAATCTCAGAATCACAGAATCAACCAGGTTGGAAAAGACCTCCGAGATCAGAGTCCAACCTGTGACCCAACCCCACCTTGTCACCCAGCCCATGGCACTGATGCCACATCCAGGCTCTGCTCAAACCCCTCCAGGGACGGGGACTCCACCCCCTCCCTGGGCAGCCCATTCCAAGGGCTGAGCCCTCTCGTTGCCCTTCTCTGGACCTGCTGCAGCCCCTCCATGTCCTTCCTGAGCTG